TTGGCAGGAGATGTTATGCCAATGATGTTGATTTTTAGTCCTCAAAGCTCAAAGCGGACGGAGTCACGCGAGATGGGAAAGAAGTATTTTTGCATTACCGCGGCTTGCCTACAACTTCCAGACTGGGCCAACCATCTCTCGGAGGAAATTCGTGGCAAATTACTGGAAAGAGTTTGGTTCCACTTCCGCAAAGCCTACACCCCAGACCTTTCGGCTGTGAGTGTTCAATGACGCGCGGCTATTAGATGCATATTTGAAGACTGTGGTCCATTGAGCACTCCAGGATATCCCATTCTGTCCAAAGAAGAGATGGTAGGGCACTGTCGCGAGATCCACGGGAAAGACGATGAAACAATGGCTAACCTCAGGCGCATTGGGCGAAGCAAAAGCGATTGACAACAATAACAATCCACTGCAGGTAAGGAAGAAGAAGAGATCAGGGAGTGGAGAACTTGGACCATGCGCGAAAAGGTCATGATGTCTGCTATGTGACTGTGGATGCATAGACATCAGCGTAAGGCAGGACAAATCCTTATGCACTAAGATTATATAATACGAATTCACTAACTAATAGGTAGTTGATTTACGATGGTCAATGACACCGGAGGAGGCAGGATATTTGATGTCCAGGCAAAGATGTGGTTCAGATTGAGTGTAAAGGAGTGGTGCTAGAAGACATACTGTTGTTTCAAGCGCTCAGCTAGTATGGACTATAAGAGATGCGTCAGGCTTTCTAGGATTCTTCTATTGCAGTAGTGCTTCTACGGGTGGTTATATGATCCCTACTCCTCAGCATTCTACTTACCGAGTTGGCAAGTTCTCCGGGTATATAGAAATTAAGGGGACAAACAGCCGACATATATATATATAGCCTGAGATATCTGTCCAAGTTCTGTTCATTGGTGCCATTATGCGCCTTTGTCAAAATGTGCCTTCTTAGTAGTTAATTGTACAATATTCAGGTACCTGAATATTCACCTGAAGGCGCTGGAACGTGGGCGGCAAAGCAGCAGAGACAGACGCTGGCATGGGTGTCATTGGGTGAGCACGAACATCAACTGCATATCAGACACCAGGACCAACCTCACAGTATAAGAAAATCTCAAATGACTACATATTACTTAGACTACCTATTTCCAGTACATACGACCATAGGGTGTGGAAAACAGGGCTTCCCGTCCGCTCAGCCGTACTTAAGCCAGTATTACCAACATGGTCGGAAGTTATATGCGCCCTTGAAGGCCTGCTGCTTTATGGGTGAGAGGCGCTAAACCATAGGGTGAGTGTGGGTGAGTGAAGGTAAGCTAAGTGATTCTATTCACATTCTATGACCATTTTTGGCCAATTCCCCGGTACGAGTGTGGTATTCGGGTTAGACTCGGGAGTAACACCAAGACGAACCCTCGGGGGTGTTCAACCACTCCCATCAATAATCAATCAGCCACCAGAATCTATTGGACATCTTCAGTACTAGCCAGTACATCAATTCCTCATACTGACACAAAAGAGTAGAGAGTACCATTATACTCAGAATAGGCCAAAGAATCCAGAGAAATGGAAATCACTATTTACCCTGTATTCCCTATATAGAGTCTAAGAATTTTCGACTACAACACTAACCTGTCTGGGAGTTTTCGACCATATAGATATACGCTATTTCGGACTATAAGGACGACAATCTTCAAAGTTGAATATCTTCGTCAGGAGGTAAGATAAAAATAGCCATTAGAGTACTCTCTCTCTTCCTCTATCTTCTATGAAAAGAAAGGGCTAGAATAATAGGTTTTGAACGATACCTAACAGTCCCAATTTGCCTTATAGAATCTTGGGTAAGTCGAAGCCCACCCCAACGTCTTGTATCCATTGCTTCCGTCACCACCGCCCGAGCCGTCGAAGTATGCCTGTTGACTACTGAACCTAGGAAAGAGCTGATTGTCGAGGCTGACTGGCATCATGGCTGATGACTGCAAAATGCTAATGGTATGGCGTCCGTGGAACGTTCGTCGGTTGCTGCCTGGATTCTTGCTGCCGCTCATGTCCGCACGATGCACATTGTTGAGGATTTTGACGTGGCTCATTCGAGTTTCTGATAGACGTCAGTGGATAATTCTCGACTTGACCATAGTGTCTTGGGAGTACCGACTTACTGAAGAAGCTTTTTCGCTACGAAGTAGCCAACAGTGCCGAACAGACCGATCTTGAGAAGCGCCATCCCTCTTCTGGGTCCGTATGCTCGCAACGGAAAGTTGGCTCGAGCAAAGACTTGTCTAGCATGAAATCGACTGAATCGGCGAGTAGGATAGTCCATGATTTGTTGTTGAATGATACCTTAAAGCCTCGCAGGTGGACGACGAATGTTTATAGGTAAAAACATCCAAGCCGAGTCCGTAACTCCGAGGCCGATCGGGGTCGGCTTTCCTTTTGAATAGCTCGGCCGCGGACTCGGCCTCGGGTGTGCAGCAGCGCCTTCGCGTACATCACCAACGAACAGCATCGGACGTCCGATCTTTTACTCGACCTCGGGCATTGCTAGCGACAGCATGTATGTCCGACCTCCTTTCATACGCAGAACTTGGCCTCGTCCCAGAGGTATATAGCACTGGCCATATTCTTTAGAATCGGACTCGTTATTCCAATCGACGTCACAAGCACAACTATCTTTTGCGCGCCCTATCAAGCACCCCACAGCAACTATGCACGACGACCGCACCGCTGAGCTCGAGAAAGGCAGTCCAACCTCTTCAAGTCCATCGAGTCCAGCGGAGCCCAAGCCTCAAGCATCTGGCCCACCAGCAGCACCCGAAGGAGGCACAAAAGCCTACCTATCGCTACTCGGAGGCTCCTTGGGTCTTTTCATCTCATTTGGATGGGTCAATTGCATTGCTCTGTTCCAAGCTGAATATCAGACCAACCAGTTGAAGACCTATAGCAGCTCGGAGGTGTCCTGGATCAATTCGTCCGAATGTGAGAGCCTTCTTCCACAACCGGCCGTGAAATAACAAGCTCATTTCAATCTAGTTTTCTTCATGCTGTTCATGTCACCGTTGTCTGGATATCTATTTGACAACTATGGACCACGATTGCCGATCTGTATCGGTGGATTGATGCATGTGTTTGGCCTCATGATGACCAGCGTGTCAAGCAAATACTACCAATTCTACTTGGCACAGTCGGTTTGCTCAGGAATCGGCACATCGCTCATTTTCACTCCGGCAATGACTTCGGTTTGTGTGATCACTCTTGGAACTTATCGCGCATTTTCTGAGAAGCTTCACAGCCTATGACTTACTTCAGAAGGCGCCGCGCTTTGGCAGGAGGATTGACCGTTGCAGGCTCGAGTCTGGGTGGTGTAATCTTTCCCCTCATGGTCAACAGCCTCCTTTCAGAGGTCGGCTTTGCATGGACGATGCGAATCTGCGCTTTCTTGATCCTTGGGCTCTGGGCTATTGCCATGCTCACCATCTCCTCCAACTTGCCTCACACTCGCAAGGAGTTCAACCTTGCGAACTACCTTCGGCCTTTCACGGAATTCAACCTCTTGATCTTGTTGACGTTCTGCTTTTTCCTTTACTGTGAGCCGCCTATCATTATGTTTCATCGCAACACAGCTAACCAGGGTTTAGGGGGATTGTTTGTCCCTTTCGACTACCTTGTCCTGTCTGCTATGCATAACGGAATGTCAATGACTATGGCCTACAATCTGATTCCCATCATGAACGGAGCGAGCTTTTTTGGACGTACGATTCCCAATGGCCTTGCCGACAAGTACGGCCGTTTCAATGTGCTTATCATCATGCTCCTTTTCACTGGTGTCATCACTCTGGCCTTGTGGTTGCCTGGTCGTAGTAATGCGGCTAACATTGTCTTCGCTGCTTTGTTTGGTATTGGATCTGGCACCACCATTGGCTTGACACCGCCCCTTGTGATGACTCTCTACCCACCTCAGGAGATCGGGTTTCGAATCGGGTTGGCTCTTGCTATCGCAGGCATTGGTACCCTTACGAGCCCTCCGATTGCTGGTGCAATTGCAGAGACAGATGGAGGCTCTTTCCTCTTTGCGGCCTTGTTCAGTGGCGTGAACTTCATGGTCGCGACAATCTTTTTGGTGTGGCTGAGGGGTAGAGTTTCTGGTTGGAATCCCCTCACAAAAGCTTGATGCCTAGGCAAGGGCACTGAGCGCAGCAGCCTGCTGCAATTACAACGTCTGGTGAAGAAGAGGAGACTGGCGTGGAGGCGGAGAAACATACATCGGCACACGTGTGACATGAACACGATCTTGCGGATTCTCTCAAGTTATCAATAAGAATAAGATAGTGAATAGTTACCTAACTATGATTAACTAGTTAGTTAGTTAAAGGGGTCGAAATTATATAATCATATTCCGCACCGAGGGGAGTGGAATGAGAAACTCTGGGAGTTGAAAACCTCCTTTGTCTGTCGACATTTTCTACCGACTCGGCCGACCGGGTGTCCCGCTCGCTTTGGAATTACATTACGTTAGCTGCTGACAACGCTTCCATAGAATTATAGGCACTTATCTGTATCCTTGTTTCTAGCGGTAGGACTAGTCGTCTCGACATGCTTGCTTTGCTGCATGGGTCCACAAGGGTAGCGGTTGCTATATTCGGCTGCGAATTATGTATTTATACGTAGTTTCCTGGAAAACTCAGCAGTATCAGTGATATCACTTAGACCTTAAAATAAACCACTATTATTATGGTGACCAATCAACCTAGGGGATTAGCTTACTGCCGCTAGAACGGGCGCCGTTGGATCCCGCTTTTGCTGACAATAGCTCGCGTCGCGGATCCATTCTGCGTTTCCATACGCTATTCGTTGCAATGAGGAAGCACATGCATGGTCCCATTACCAAAACCATGTTGTATTTCGTGAGCTGCTGATGGTTCCCCGCTGTGAGGCTAAAGGCCTTGGTGTAACGATGTCGAAGGATGCGTTATGAAACATATATCTCTTGGCTGTTGCACAAGCCGTGAGGCACAATGTCCACATCACGACAATTTCGCCTCAGTGATGGCTATTGCAAACGAAACCTCAGCCACGTCCAGCCGTCGCCGACGACCAACCTTGGCGTGTGAGCCTTGTCGACGAAAAAAGATTAGGTTGCTCATCCCAGGTTTCCAAGCATACCAGGCGATCGAAGTGTCAATGCTGACTAAAAGATAGGTGCAACCGCGAAGTCCCCTGCAACCAATGCGTCCGCTCCAAGTCCGAGTACTGCGTCTACATACAGATCGACGACGACGAATGCTCTGTGCAACGTCATTTGAAGCGCAAACGGACCAATTCTGAACATGTCCACCAATTCTCAAGGCGAGAGAAGGAGGACTCGCATACCTACTGTGAAGATGTGCCGTCATCCGAAGGCGTGAGCCCAGTCTTTCGAACCGGCTTTGAACCCCCAAGACCCGACTCAGTAGTATCAACACCTACCGAGATCACGCATAAGGGTATTTGCTCAAATGGCAGCTCATCAAGTGAGGACGGCTCAGGAGTTCTTCCGATCCGCGGCATATTTTTGGATTCTCGCTTCTTTGGACCAAGCCACTGGATAAACAGCGCTGTTCACGTAAGCGAAAGCCGTGCCCAAGAGTCAACGCACACATTACTGACCCATGGTGTGGAACAGTTTCGTAAAGTTCATACATTACAACGTGCTGTCGAGAAAGAGCCCGGAGGAAATCTGTACAGGCAATGCAGGGAACTGGCGGAAACAAGACGATCACAAAATTCGATCCCGCAACTGCTGGTCACCAACCTGAAAGATCTGATTCCTCCTCAAGCCATCACCGATCAACTTATTGAAGCATATTTGCGGACGTTCGAGTCAGTGTTACGCGTGTTACACGTTCCATTGTTTCTTCACGATTGCCAAGGTTTCTGGGAGAGACCACTGGCCTCCTCGGAGGACTTCCAGCTTCAATTACTCCTAGTGATATCGATTGGGGCGTTATTCTCGCCGAAGCTGAGAGACAGCTGTAACGACTCGAGTCTGGCAGTACTGAACGAGCAGGTGGATGTTGAAAAGGCAGCACCACAGTTTGACTCACGCAACTACATCCCAACTACCTCTCCTGGTTCGCGGGTACCGCACGTGGCTTTGTCGGACGGCAGCGCCATTTCCGATGGATTCGGGAAAGGCTTCACCATGGTCGCGTTTCTGCAGAAAGAAGCAGTAGCAGCCGGAGACCAATTTCAGGTGCCCATCGCACTGGCCAGTTTTGAAGAAGCAGCACGCCAGCACAGTATTCCTTTAAAGAGCCTTTGTTTGATGAATGAGACTCATGCGTTCCGAATTTGGGATGCTTGTCTTGTCCTGGTGCGGCCTGATGGATTTTCAGCGTGGCGCTCAGATAGTCTGGACAAGGTGCACAATGCATCACAAGTGTTGCTTCAAGCAACAGGTCATACCTCGCCTTTGTAAGCAAACCCTTTCGAGACAGAGACGATCGAACATAGAACAGAATGGAAAGAATTAACCTCAATTAATCACGATCTTCATTTCGCAACGTAAATCGTCCTGTGAACTTGCTCTATCAAATAGTTGGAACCAAAAAGGCCGAAAAGTCCAGGTAGTTGCAGTCCTGACTTCAGTCAGTAGTGCTATGTAAGAGGCGCATATTTCGTAATTTGTACTCACCATTGCGCCAAAATCCAGGCCGTCAAGAAGTCCATTATCGATCACGTCTTGCGACACTTCTCGGGGAGTGTTGGCGGCCCTGTAGGACTGTAGTATATCGTAACACTCCTTCAGGCTGTCTTTTGCAGTGTTCAGCACAGCAGACAAAATGGGTTGGCCGCGTTCCATGGCGTATATCTGGGAAAGAATGCCAGCAAGAAAGATGTAGCGTTTCAACGTAGGATGGCCCAACTTTACGATCTGCAGTAGTTGTTCGTTGATGTGTTCCAAAAGTCGAATGATGGGCGCTCGCTGGCCGCGCGCCAGTTCAGCGAGAGGATCAAGGACCAATGTGTGGTTGAGACCAATCGAAGCAGATGACGGACCGGAACCCGTTTCCTCCAGCTGAGACACAACCTCCAAGCCCAAGACTGAAATTACGTCCAGGCTCAAAGGTCCGCGAAATGACCCTGTGCTCATCACCATCAACTTGGACAGATCGTCAAGAGAGTCTGCAGGTAGCCGAAGTCGCTCGGCATAAGTGGCGATAATCATTGCAGACTCCTGACAAACCCTCCGGGAAAAATAGAAGCGGGGATCCTTTTGCGCTTGTAGCATGAAAGGCCGATGCAGAACCAGAATATACCGACGAATCTGCATATCAAGGAAAGCGTGATGCATGCCTAGGAATTGCGACCAATGCGACCGACAATAGCTTGCAAGAGTACGGCAAACTGTCTGAAGTTTCGTAGCTAGCTCAATGGCCATTTCGTATGAGTGCTCTAATCGCTCGTTTTGGACCGCCCTGACAACTTCAAGTCGTAACGGCAGGGACTGACGCATGAGAATTTGTATCGACGATTCCGTATAGCTTGTCAACGGTTGTGGAGATGGAGACTGTTTGCTGGCTGAATCTAAATCAGCATCGCTGACATTAAGAGGCATATGATCGTCAAAGTCGTTTGAAGAAAGAAGCAAAGGGATGGAACAGTCCATGGAACCATGGATTACGAGCTCTAGGACTGTTGTCCAAAGCCTCCTTCGTATCTCGGCTTGAAAAGGAGACAGAGAAAACAGTTGTGGATCTCGGTGCAGGCCCATAGCCATAGCCACCCGAAGTAGACCACTTTCCGACAGCCACGGTGAACCGCCGACTAATGTTATCTGCCGCGAAACCAAAAGAAGACAGAAAATTTGAATTCCATCAAGATTGTTGGTACTTTTCTCTGACGGTCCAACCATCCAGTATTGAGCAGCTTGTATCCAAGTACGCCGCGCGCGCTGTAGAACTTTGTCGTCGTCATTGCTGAAGACGCTTCCAATGGCCAACACCAAACCCAACTTGATTGCAAAGTTTGTAACTACAGGCTGCGGCTGGCTGAAGTATTGCTCGTATTCTGCCCAGAATGTGGGAATGTGAAAACAACGATAGATCAACTCGAAAGTCCGCATGTAGTGATTCACTAGTCGGTCACAGATGGAACGAGCCGGCATTGTACTCAGAAGTTGAGGAACGGGGTCATCCATCTGCGGTGCCTGCTCATTTTTCATCGTGAGTCGCAAGTTGCGTATCTCATTCACCGAATCGGCCAGCTCGGCCTTAGTATCCACGAAGGACAATTCAACGTCCCTGTCTCCAAAATGGCTGACTCTGAACTATTGACACGTCAGCCAATGTTCAATCAGTCAAGGTGTTCATTAGAAAGGAGCTTCAACGATACCTTCTCAGCAGTGTGCAGCCAGTGGCTTGAAGGAAACAATTTTACCTTCTTCTGGTTGTGACGAAGTCGAGGGATGACAGATGAAATTGTTAGAGACTTATCGCCCGTGACAGCTGAAGGCGCAGGACGAGCTTGGGAGAGCTCAGCAAGCCGCTGCTCGACGTGTTGGAGGCGATCAGACAATGCCAGCAGCGTGAGATGATTGTTGCTGCTGCTGCTGAGGCTGTGCTGCGGGGGATCGACTTCTGGTACAACCGAGTGCTCAAGCTGCTGTACACGTCGCTCTACGCTCCGAATTCGCTCCGATTCATTTGTTGTTCGTTGCCTTTTTGCAGGGTGATCGATGTTGTTGTTTGGGGCAATGCTGAGCGAGCGAGGAACTTGTTGTTGGACAGTATTGCCCTCGCTTCCACGGCCTTCCAGGGCGAGACTAGGTTGCTGCTGACCTCCTTGATATATGCACGTCACCGAGTTTCTGGAGACTTGACAGGCTGAACATGGCGATTTGAGATCGCAACGTACTTTTCGGCGGCGGCACGGGTCGCAGGATTGCGCAGGTCGGCGGCTCCGACGAGCGGGTGAAGATGCTGACCGGGTACTGCCAAAGCTCTGGTCCTCAGCCATCTTGACGACAGTCCAAATTGCAGGTATTGAATGCGCGGTCAACGGACATCAATGATGTTGGAAAGGTCGGAGGGAAAGCGCGGGGTCGGCAAGCGTGCTGAAGTGAGGTGCTGTTCCATCTTGCTCTCGGACTCGGGCCCGGGTCCGGACTCGGGGCTCGGACATAAAGCCCACTCTAAACGTTCGCCACCCACCGACCAGTTCAACCTCCTCAATACAGGTATTTTCATACAGCCCTTAACAGCTAGGCTACGAATCCCTTGCCGAGATTCGATGACACAATATCGTCGCTTTCGATCGTCGAACATAGCCTTCGCTCCTAGGCGTCAATGCATCGTCTCCGTTCGATTTCCAAGTTGTGCTGGTCCGTTGCAGGAATTTAGAAACGAGTGAAACGCGGATATATGAACAATAAAGAGTTGCAAGGCATGGATCAGTTTGGCATCTAACAGTCAAGCTAATGTTCTAAAGTTTCAGCTAACGTAATTCTCATGTCGACTGTCGTTCATCGATACTAATTTCCTTCGCGTGCTTTGTGGAGGGCAACCAAAACACCAGTCTTGTTACTTGGTCCAATCCGCATAATAGCATGATATGGATTCGCATCTCTGGAATCGATTCGCTCGTAGCGCATTACCAAACGAGCCAACATGTATGCAGCCTCCGTCATGACCATCATCTGTGCTGGGCACCTTCTAGGACCACCGCTGAAAGGCACGAACTCCCAGAAGGGCTTCAGCTCAAGGAAGCGCTCAGGACGAAAATCGTCTGCGTCTTCACCCCAGTATTCCCGATTGCGCTGCTGTACTGTCTTGGTGACTTGGACCATGTCACCTTTGCGGACGAAGATGGGGTACTGGCCGTCTTTGCCTCCGCCACGTGGGAGGGTCGTGTCGTTCATGCAGATACGGACTTGGGTGACGTTGTTTGGGTTTAGTCGCAGAGTCTCATCAAGACAAGCATTGAGAATCTTCAAGCCTCTGAGAGTGGAGAAGCTGAGTTGACCAACCGCTTCGTCACCGCCTTGAACTGATGTCAGTACCTCCTCACGACATCTTGCCCACGCATCCGGGTGACGAGCCAAGTGCCAGAGGGCATTACTGATGAAGATCGAAGTTGTGTCGTTGTTCGGGACCAGCAGCAGGGCCAATTGAGACCGCAGGTCTTCGTAGTCGGAGTCGTGTGATGCCATGTACCATAGAAGGTCTTCCCGCTCAGGGCCTACTTTCTCTCCAGCAGCGATGCGTGCCTTGCGGGTTTCGATTTCTTTGTAAGTCGCTGTGATATGTGTGTCGACAAAGGCATGAACCTCGTATACTGCCTTGAGCCACCAGTCCCAGTTGAACCACTTGATCATGCGAACGACCTGCATACGCTGGCGACTGCCACGAAGAACATCCAGCATGGCCCATGTGATTTTGGCCTTGGCTGGATGATTGAGGGCCCCCATAGGCTCGCCAAGGATGAAATCAGTGGTCAAATCCAGGAACTATGTTCGTATGAGCATTGTAATGAAACGTTCAAATTGCTTTTTTTCGCAAGCGCGACTTACCCATCGCTGGAGCAGGGGCTGGATGTTGAATGTCTCTCCATCCGGCGGCAGTAGAGACAATAACGAGTCCACATACGGCCTGATCCGATCAGTGTTCGTATAAACATCGCGATTGAAGAACGGCTTGATGAGGAAACGGCTGAACACCCAGTCGTCCCCGTCAACGGTGTTGACACCTTTGTCTGCGAACGGGTGGAAAGCTTGCGTACTGCGTCGGAGAGGACTGATGCCAAAATCCTTCCAGTTGATCGCTGTCATAGCCTTAAGGCTATCCGTCTCGGTGGTGTAAATTTGGCGTTTTCCGAGAAAACGGATCTTGAATGTGCTCGGTTGGCCTTCATGCATAGCTGCCAGCCATGGGATAAAAGTGTCTCCACGGAGGGCCTTCATTTGGCTCAAGGCGAGATCGAGGCCGAAAATGCGATCCCATTGAGGATAGGATGGGATAACGCCGCAGCCATGGGCTTTGCGTCCTTGGTATTCTTTGAATCGCCCCCACAGTATATTGAGGAATATGGCCAGTAACCCAGAGGCGACGGCCAGAGACCAAAGGTTGTCGACGATTATCATCGTGTGGGCAGGTTTGTTAATGATAAAAACTGTCGCCAGCAACTTGTGAGGAATGAATTCCACATCTTTGATGCGATGAAACCGAGACGCATTTAAAGCATAGAGGCGCAAAAGACCTCGTTAGAAGACTCGGAGGTCTCTTTCGATGAAGTGAGTGCAGCTCCGTGAGGTACTCATGGTCAAATATTATCCCCGATGCTCCACTCTCGAATCTCGGACTTAAATTCGGGACCTTAACGCAACCATAGCTGAATGTAATATCTATCGGGTTGCTCGGATAAATAACTGTATCTATGTAGTATTTATGATATACTAACAGGATGGGTGGATTTAAATTT